GGGGGGGGGCGGGGGGGGCGCTGGCTCAGTTTCTCCATCTTTCTGATACAAGCCGCCCAGGCTCAACATTTCTAGAAGGCCTGCCTCCTCCCACTCCCCTGCCTCTGGGGGTCCATCCGGGGTCTGTATGGAGCCTGGGGGCGACCTCGGGACCCCAGGTAGCCGCAAGGGGGGCGCTCACCCAGCACAAAGGTTATAAGGATGAGTTGAATGTAGTTGTCACAGTACAGAGCCAGCTTCTCAAACATCACCTACTGATCCCACAAGAGGGCCATCCTCTGGGGAGGGGGTCAGACATTGAGAAGGAGACTGAGATTGTTCCCAGCAGGCCTATGGGAGGACTGGGGCTACCTGGGTGGTGTCCCTTCCACTGGCCTGGCCGAGAGCCCTCTTCTGTCTGAGGTGAGTTCTGGTTGAGGGAACAGGAAAGGTCTGCTGAAGGGAGTGGGGGTCACTTTGGGCCACCATTGATCCTTTTAGTATCTCTGTATGTATGTAAGCTTGTATGTGTTTATATGTTTATTTTGCTGCACTGGGGATTGAATCCAAGCCTTGCTCATGTTAGGCAAACACTTCATCACTGAGCCAAAAGGAATCAAGGGACAGCTGTTTGAAAGCAGGTTAAAACAAAGAGTGCTTGGTATTTTTAAAATACCAGGTGGGGGCTGGAGAGATGGCTCAGCAGTTTAAGAGCACTGGCTGCTCTTACAGAGGACCCAGGTTCAAGTCCCAGCACCTACATGGTGGCTAACAACCATGGGTAACTCCAGTTCCAGGTGATCTGATGCTCTCTTGTGATCTCTGTGGGCAAAGGACACAGGTGTACTTACATGCAGGCAATATACTCATACACAAAAATAAAAAATAATAAATATTTAAAAATATAAAGCGGAGGGCTTGAGAGCTCAGTAGGTAGAGTGCTTCTTTAACACACATAAGGCTGTAGGTTCATCCCTACACCACATGTGGATTAACCCAGGCATGGTGTTGTATGCTATAATCCCAGCACTCATGAGGTATTGACAGGTGATTCAGAAATTCAAGGTGATCCTTGGCTACAAAGTGAGTTCAAGGCCCGCCTGGAGTTCATTACACATAGTCTCAGAAACAAACAACAAAACAAAGTAAGGTGGAGAGGGATGGCTGGGTGGAGCACAGAGAGTTTAGGGGCAGTGACGTGACTCTGCATGGGACTCTACATGTCACTGCAAGATACATCTGTTCAAACCCATATGGTCTTCAGGTGACAATGATGTGCAATGCAGATTCACTGACTGCAGCAGTACCGTGTGGAGCCGTGCTTTGCTTGATGCAGAGGTTAGCAGGGTCACAAGTAAACCTCTGCATCACCTGCTTACTTTTCCTGCAAACATGAAACTGCATTAAAAAATAAATTCTAACTGAGCATGGTGGCTCATGTCTGTAATCCCAGCACTTGGGAGACAGAGGGCAGGAGGGCAGACAAAAGTCTGAGGCCAGCCTGGTTTACACAGGAGTTGTGGGACATCCAGGGCTACATGGCAACACCTTTAATTAGACTCTATTTTTAAGTAACAAATTCCAATGTGTTGTTATTAAAATAAACTCAAGAATTTCAGGTGTTTGATATTTTTTTCAATTCATTGTAATCATTAGTGCTTTTTAAAGGTTACATTTATTTAGTGTGTATGTATGTGTATGTGCATGTGTGTGTGCTCCAAAGAACAACTTGCAGGAGTCCATTCTCTCCTTCCACTGTATGTAGGTCCTGGGGATCAACCTTGGGTCTTCAGACTCAGTGTCAGGTAGCTCTACCCACTGAGCCATCTTGCTGGCCTGCACTCCTTCACTTTAAATGCTATCAGATATTCTGTGAATATACCTATCGTACATTTTATTATTTATAAACACTATTTATATAAACATATTAACATGTATCATGTGAGACCGAGTGCTTAAAACAAGGTCAGCTCAGTAGGACCAGCTCAGGCCTGGGTACCCAGTCCCCTCCTGGCTGAAATGGAGAGAGTACCTGACTCACCTTTGGCCTGAATTAAACTGTCTTCCCAGTCTGGCTTTTTGCTTGTTTGTTCATTTTTGTTTGTTTTGAGACAGGGCCTCCCTGTAGCCTCAGCCATCCTGGAACTCACTATGTAGTCCAGGCTGGCCTCAATCTCACAGTGATCCACCTGCCTCTGTCTCCCAAGTGCTGGCATTTAAGGCATGTGCCACTATGCCCTGCTTGTTTTAGGTTTTGTTTGGTTTTGTGTTGTTGGAGATTGTACCCAAGGTGACTCACGTACCAGGAAAATTCTTTCACTGAGCTGCATACCCATCTCTGGGTCTTTTTTTTTCTCCCCAGCCTCAAGCCCAGCCTCCAGGGCTTCTCCAGTTCAGCTCAGCCTTATAGCTAACTGGAACATTGGACCCTACCCTATCCAACTCAGCCTGCTGGCTGGGAGACCCCACCCCCAGGAACTCTAGGCCCCACCCCTCAGATGGTCCACTCCTTCCCCTGGCCCCCTACTGGCTCTGTACCCATAGACAAAGTGAATGCCATAGTAGAGAAACATGAAGATGAAGAATTCTTCATAGAGTAGTTTGTAGATACTGCCACGCCAGCACAGGAGCAAGCTTAAAGAGGAGCCCAGGCGAGCACTGGCCACATAGTTTGTGTATGTGATGGTCATGGCTCAGCACTGGACAGCAGTAAGTGAGCTTGGGTCCTGGTGGGAGGTAGACAGTGGAATGGGGGTGGGTAGGAATCCAAGGCTAATTTCCAGTCTGGGACTCATGTGAATTTGGTCCTTCCCTGCCCTGGACCTCAGTTTTCTTGCCTGGGACACAGAGAGGGATAAGGTAAAAACACTGGAAAGCCCCTCAGCCTTACAGGGAACACATGGGAGGGTCTGTGACTCGCCATGTGCACTTGATTTTGTATGAGAAGGCAGGTGGCAGCAGCGTCCACACAGCTCAGGGCTTCAGAGCCAGGCAGCCAGCATCCTCAGCCTTGTTCCTCAGCCCTTCAACCACACTGGAGTGACAAGTAGCTAAGGGACTGGGCCAGCCCTGTTCACTGTCATGTCCCCATCCCCAGCACATAACCTGATGGGAGGGGCTGTTTACTGAGTGCTGATCCCAGGGCCTTTCCACCTGCTGATGCAACTGCCTGGGAAATGGATGCTCTTCCTAAGGTAACCCTATGGCTAACTTTCACTTCACGTTACCTCCTAGGAAAGATGTCCCCGACCATTCTACTGGAAATAGTGCCTTGCTGTCACCAGCAATGTCTTCCCAGCTTGTTTGATCTTTCCACACAGCACATATCCCTAACAATACAAGACACTTGCTGTTGACTGCCTCTACCCTTCTCCCACTGCAGCTCTTAACTGTGTTCTCAGAGCAGACACTCAAAATTGACTGAAGCAATGACTGCCCCCTCAGCCCATTCTGATGCCAGCTCAAGCTGGCTTTGTCTCTGTATATGGTAAACACCAAGTTCATTTCTACCTTAGGGGCTTTGCACAGACATACAGGGTCCATATACCTGCACATGTACAACTAGTGTGTACCCATCCTACCCACATACACAAGAGGAGTCATCCACCCCTGAAGACCCTCAAAAGCCCCAGCCCCGTCCACCTGGGGCAGCCCCTACTCACAAGTAGGGCTCCGGGAAGATCAAGCAATCCCACAAAAGGTCTGGCCACTGGGCTGGTGGGACACCCTGTGGTGGATACCCCCGCCATACTTGGAGGCTGGTACTGCCCACATACATGTGTACTAAGTGGTCACCTGATTTCCTAAGCCAGGGCTTCCACAAAGGAGCCCTTGTTTTGTTCCCTGACAGTAATCTGTTCAGCACAGAAGCAGAGGCCAGCACAGCCTGGCCAGGATTCCTCTAATTCTTTCTTTGGAGTGGGGGTTGCTGAGGTAAGAACAGGGCTGGAGTTGGGCAGTGACACCCCCTCTACCATGCCCCTATGCTCCAGAAGTTGAGGGGCACACACCACCACTACTACTGACCCCTCAAGTCTTTCAAGGAAAGTTGGGGGGCAGGATTGAGCCTCATCTAAGGTACCAGGAGCTCCTGAGGGGAGAATGCCTATCCAGTTTCCTGGGCCCCCCAGAAAGAACAGAGGGCCATCACAAGTCACTGGCATCTAGGGTCCTGTGTGCTGATGCTGGGTGTGTTTCAGCATCCCCATCTGAAAAAATATGGTATTGCTTTGGGATTTCATCAGCACAGTGAGAGTGACAGAATTCTGCATATAGTGGTGAAGACCTCTGATTGGCTGCTGGTTGCATCATAGATTGTGGTGGCTATGATTGGTTGGCAGGGTCTGTTAGTAGGTGCTTCAGAGGTTGGGGAAGAGGAGGGCAGGGAGCCCAGGTGAGGGACTGGGCCTGAGGAGAAATGACATGACAGGTGTTTATGTTGCCTACTCCCAGACGGCCTGAGAGAAACAAAGGCATGTGTCTGCGCCTCCAGGGGCAGCTGACTAGAATCTCAACAGCTGCTTTGAAACATCTTAGCATACCAGTTCTTTCTGAAAGGTCAGCATGTGGCTGTGATGGGTGTCTACCAACACCCTCATCTTAAGTAAAAAGAGCAGACGCCAAGCAGCACTGGTTTTCAGTCTTCAGTGACTGAAAGAATTGCCCAGAAGGTTTACCAACATGTAGCTTCTCAGGATCTTTCTCAGGAGTCTGATGCTGCATCCTTGGGGACATTGCATTTTTATCAAAAGCTATAGGAGAAGGTGATATGAGTCACCTTGGGAACCATACCTCCAGAAGCCCTAATTAGCATGTGTGAGGCCCTGGGCTCCATCCCAAGAATGGCAAAAGGAAAACAAAAAAAACCCACAAATTTGGGGGCTGGAGAGATGGCTCAGCAGTTAAGACCCAGGTTCAGCTCCCAGCACCCACATAGCAACTAACAAGGGTCCTTAACTCCAGTTCCAGGGAATCTGACACTCTCTTCTGAACTCCCTAGGCATTGCATGCCATGGATGCACTTACATGCATACAGGCAAAACACTACCACTACTCTGCTCCCCCTCACCCTGACCCCCAGCCTTCTTCAGACATATTCCCTAACAGGACCAAGCTTGCAGGTAAACTTAGCACATAACTTTTGGCTGTTTAAGTCTCTGCCCCAAAAGAAAAAAGAATAACTGTTTCACCATGACCTTGACCGCTTTTCTAATCACAGCAAAACAATAACTCTTGTTAATTCTGAGTCTCTGCTGAGATCCAGGAAGCCTTGAAGGAGTATCTCTTATGCTCTCCCCCTCCCCAACTGCCCCACAGCTGTCCTTAGTTGAACAGAAAAGGGACAGCATTGATGTGAATCTTAGTCTTCATCTGAGAAGAGACAGTAAGGTCAGCCTTGGCAGCTGGGTGAGAGAGAGGGAGGCTGGTCAAGTAGGGCATGGGGAGCATCTTCAAAGCACAGGTGCCTATGCCCCGTAGGACAAGGTGCAGACTCAGTGGGCCCAGGTGCTAGGTTTTCAGTGCTAACATACAGCCTGGGCAGAGAGTGTCTGCAGACTCTTACCTTGATTTCCCTCTTCACACCAACACACACTGACACTCAGAACTCTCTACCTACTAGATGGATGTATATGTATATGTTTATGTATATGTATGTAAAGTACTTGCTGTGTAAGCATGAGGACCCTAGTTTGGATCCCCAGCACCCATGTAACACACTGGAGATGACAGGTTCTGGAACCCTAGTGGGGCCGAGAAAGGCAGATCCCTGGTACTCACTGGGCAGTCACTCGACCCAATCGGTGAGCTTCAGGTTCAGTGAAGAGACCCTGTATCAAAAAATAAGGTGGAGAGCCATAGAGAAAGAACCCAAGATAATCAGCAGTGTGTGTGTGTGTGTGTGTGTGTGTGTTGAGACAGGGTCTTATGTAGTGCAGGCTAGATTTGAACTTGCTATGTAGTCAAGAATGATCTTGAACTTCTGATCCTCCTGCCTCCACTTCCTGAGTGCTGAGATTACAGGTGTGCCAACATGCCTGGGTTTGCAGTACTAGGCATAGAACCCAGGACTCCATGTGTACTAGACAAGCACTCCTCCAACTGACCTACATCCTAAGCCCAATAAATATATTATCAATTTCTTTTTTGGGGATGTAAATACTTTATTTGGGGGTGTATGTCTTTTTATTCAATGTATGTTTTATTGACTTTTTGTCCACTTCATACAGAACATTTTAATCATCCTTATACCCCTTGTGCTGGATAGCTTTAGTGTCAACTTGACACACCTGGGTTGAGGGAGCCTCAATTGGGGAATTTCCTCTATTGGACTGGCCTGGGGCCATTTCCACAGGGCACCTTCTTGATTGTTGAGTGATGTGGGAGGACCCAGACCACTATGGGTGGTGCCACCCCTGGGCAGGTGGGTTTGTGTTGCATAAGAAAGCAGGCTGAGCAGGGACCAGGAGAGCAAGCCAGTAAGCAGCATTCCTCCATGGCCTGTGCTCCAGGTCCTGCCTCCAGGTTCTTGCCCAGAGTTCCTACCTTGGGCTCCCTGATGAACTATGACCCAGGAGATGTAAGACAAATAAACCCTTTCCTTCCCAAGTTGGTATTGGTCAGTGTGTTTTGTCACAGCAATGGAGAATCAAACTAGGACAGAAATAGGTACCAGAGAGTGGGGTATTGCTGTGACAGACCTGATGTAGGAGGATTGTGGAAGCATTTGGAACTTTGGACTGGAAAAGCCATTGAATGCTTAGAGTTTGTTGCTGTGGAACTTGGAACAGTTATGTTGAAAGAGTTTTGGATGATGGAGGCCTGGCTTATGAAGCTTCAAAGGGAAGTGGAGACTATAAGGGCTGTTTCTGTCAGATTTTGAATTCAGAATCTGTGGGTTCTGGTCACCTGAGGCTGAAGAATCAGCTGTGATTAAGAAGAGACCAGAACCTGAAGTAAAACCTTTGCTTTTCTGGGACAATTGATGCTGGTTAGGGGGGCTGAAAAAATCAGCTGTAAGTAACAAGAGACCAGCACCGCTGTGGTGAAATTTTCTGGGAGGTATTTCCTCAGGGTCAGCACACAGAGGGGACCGGAGCCTCCATTTCTAGCTGGAAGCAGGACTTGGTAATTTGTAAGAGTCTCCTGCATGGTTCTGGTGTTGAAAGCATGAAGGGGTCACAGAGAGCAACTGAGGCTTGGCACTCAGAGGCCAGGAAAGACCATAGATGAAAGTGCATCTTCAATTGCAGTGAAGATCCCAGGATTGAAGGGGTCATGGAGAGAATCTGAGGCTTTGCACCCCAAAAGGCAAGAGGAGGCCATTGGTGAAGGCACAGCCTCAGTTTCAGTGGAGACCCCAGCTTTTTGGAGATTCCAGGACCATAGGATAACCACCAAGGACAGCAGTAGATGTGGAATACAGCTGGCCTGGGTCTGCAATGAGCTGTGTGTGCTGTGGACGGCAGAGTCAGAAGTGGAGCTGCCAGAATCCTTTGGAGCCCAGAAGATTGTGAGTGAATCCCAGATGTCCAGCCTTGAACTACTTTGTTGGACTTTGGTTTTTGCTACCTGTGCCCGATTCTTCCCTTTGAAATAAGACAGTACTTGTTTTCAATTTTATAGATGCCCACAATTAAGAGACTTTTAAAAGAGACTACGGACTTTCAAGTGTAGACTTTTAAAAGAGACT